CTGTGGACTCTTAATCTTCCATCCACTGCCTGATGTTGATGCGCCCAGGCTCTATCCTCCATGCGGTCCTCACCTTCCTCTGAATTGAATCTACTCATGGTTTAATCACCATCAAACGTCTAGAGACTCCAGAACCTAAATCTCAAATACAGACATATAGGTTTAGACTGAGGTTTACAAATATATTCATTCATGGAAAAAAAAAATTGAGGGGGTGGGGGCGCTGTCTGTTAAAAATGCCTCAAGTTGCTGATTCAGGCTACACTGTAAAATGACTAAATGCTTTTGGTGTCTGCTGTCCCCCCACCACTGACAATTTCCACCTAAATAACTCCCAGGCATCTGAAACTCAATATGTACAAATATGAATTCAATCTGTTGCTTTGAGAACCTATCCTTCATCCTTTGGCCCTTGTCTTAGTAAGTGTTCCTTCCATTCCTCAAATCACAACATTCAGAATCATCTTCCTCGCATTACATTGAGACACAGGAAAACTACGTATTCAGTAACCACTGCTGCCTGCAGGAGGAAGACTGACACCCTGGTCTGCATCCGGGGCTATTAAACAAGTGCAGCACAATTTTGAGCTCTATCCTTTTTCTACTGCTATCCTCAACCTCAAACTATTTAACAGTGCCTGTAATCACTGAGCTGTTTCAGAATTCCACATATTTTCTGTAGCTGTCTTCTCTATCAAGTTTGCTTAACATCGCCCACCACCCCCCCTCCCACTTTGCTCACCTGAAAATTAACTGCTGGTCCAGCAAAACTCAGCTCACGCTTCACTTCCTCTTGCCCTCATCTCTCCCACTTCCTTCTCTAATCTCATTTGACGTTGTACATACCTCTGTTATGGTACCTATAATACTGTTTCACCCCTAATTGTTTACATGTGTGTAGTAAATACAAATTGAAATCTACTTCACTTCTGGAGAATGGAGGCCTCTGCCGTGTTCATTGGGGGATTTGTATGTAGTAGGCAGGGAAGGATAGATGACTTTATGAATGAACAGCAGCAAAATGAGGGCGAGTTATAGAAAGGTTTTAAGCAAGGGAATGATGTGACAAGATCCGCCAGGATTTGCATGTTAGGAAAAAATGCTACCATAAGAGAGTGGAGACCGAACCTGGAAGACTAAGTACAGACATCAGATAAGAGGCCGGAGAGTATTACAAACCATCCGGTTTGTCAGTGGAGACACTGACAAACAGATGAGGTCATGGCAGTAGGAAGGAAGGAAGAAAGGGGATCCCTTCAGAGACATCTAGTAGGTGGACACATAGAGTCTAATGGCTTCTTGGACGGCCAGCAGAGCAGCAACTGAAAGCATCAAAGACAACTTCGGGATCCTCGTTTGGGAGGCATTTGTGTTTGTTGTTTAATAGCAAAGTAATTTTTCAGAATACATAGCTTTAAGAATGATCATTGAAAATTGAAAAGAAATCAGAAAACCTTAAAAACTAGAACAAATTGAAATGCATCATATGGGAGAGCAAATGATAGGGCATTAAAATTTTAACTTCACGCCATCTGCAACAATCCACTTTCCAAGGCATTCTGTATTTGCATCTGTTTTACTTTGGTATTACTGTTAGTTTGGGGTTTGGGTTTGTTTGTTTTTCTGTACATGAAATCCAGGTGAGGTGAATCTATAGAAACAGTAACTGAATGCATGGTTCCTTGGGAGCATGCAGAGGAGGCTGGGGGGAATTGGGGAGCTAATAACAAGGAATACAAAAATGAAGGAAAACGTTCTAAAACCACTGGTGGTGATGACTATACAACTCTTCTTGATGTGACAGAACTATTGAATTGTATGATATGTAAATTATATGCCAATAAAACGATTGAAGACAAAAGAAAGATAATCCAGTGTTTCTCCAATTTTAATTATTTTAATTATCTATAAATTCTCATCCATTGTAGGAAACCAGGCAAAGAGATAAGAGACAAAATGGCGACTTGCCTGAGTATGCAACATTGCTGCCCGTGTGAGTTTTCTGAAGCACTTTTGTTGCACCCATGCAAATTTGCATGACACCCTGCCGTGTGTCCCTCTATACCAAGATGGTTCTTGTAAAACACTCTAAACAGAAGAGGAAGTAGAAAGGGACAAGACGTCTCTAGAGATATATGCCCCTCATCTAGTACAGTGGGAACAGCTGAAGAAAGAAAGCTGCCATCTGGCAAATGCCAAAGAACAGCAATAATGGCACACACTTGTCTGATCTGTACTAACTGATAAACCTCGGAAATCAGTCACCTTTTGCCAGCCACCCCATACAGGCTAGGCTCTGTATTCTTGAAACCTCCATTTATGCTATAAAAAATTATAATAGTGTTTTCTGCATATGTAACAGAAATGCTCCTTTACAAGAAACACAACTTTAAAGATTCTTTTATTCTTGGCAGTGAAAAGACTGGTCAACCAAGTAAATCCATGCCTAAAGGACCTCATTAAGCACGGTGCACTTGTTCTTGGCAAGAACGTTAATGTGCTACAAAAACTGTTATTAAAGTAAGATTTGGGGATTCCCGGGTTGGCAAGGCATTAGTTAGTTGCACCTCTCTAGAAATTGTTTGCTTATAATTTCCTTTGTTATACTAATAAGCTTGTTAGACCTACAGCTAAACACAACTTTGCTTTTATTAATCTAATCTGTGAAGTCCAGTTATTCTACAGCTTATTTAAAATCATAAGCTGCGGTCGCCAAAGATGGCCTCTTTCCCCAGAGCCTGCTGTGGCTGCGTCCACCCCTCCCCGCAGCTGAGAGTAGCCATTCCCTCTTTGTGCCGATGTGGATCTAGCACCCCTATCTAATTGCTTGGCATTACAGTTTCAGACTCTAGAACTGTGCGACGCAAAATTTCATATTAGCAGCACTGTAGTGGCAAGACTGTACGCCCTTTCTATCACTAAAGAAACTGATAGACTCATAAAGTCTGGTGAGCAGAGGATTATTCAAACTTGAAGTTTTTTTTAAATGCATCGATAAAAAAAATTATAAATATTCAAGATCATAAAAATCAATTTAACACTACCATTCTGAAAAGAAAATGTTAAATTGTCAGAAATCTGCATTCATTTTTTAAGACAAAAATGAGAGCATTTAGAATACGTGAACCAATCAAAGTTTTCGCTAAGCTTCTCTTAATAGAGAGTGCATCCTTTTTCAGAAAGGAAAGGTCTTAAGAGGCAAAATATATTGTACCCAAAGTTCTAAATTATTCTCAGCATAATTCTGTAAAATACTAATAGTTTCTATACAGTATATATATTTGCTCCCAAACTGAATACACAGATTATTGCTACGTTTTTAATGGATTCTAAAAGTAGTTGATCAGTTTCATTACAAAGTAAGACCAGTTAAATAGCCACTTATTGGTATGAACACGAAAAGTATCAGTAGCGCTTCCCTGTGTTTATCACTTATTATTATAATCACAGCCAAATCAGTGTGAATGTTACTTAATACGAAAAGCTGCGTTGTTTGATGCCACGTGGATGCAACATAATGCCCTCCTTTATGTGCGTTCTAAAATGGAAAGTTAGCTGGAATATTTTACCTAATGCTAATGTGCACATCAATCTGGGAAAGGAAAATTTTCCAGACACCAGCACCCGATGATTGTAAACTCCGCCAGTTTCCTGACTGCTACCCGATTAAATTCGACGTTTACCTAAGACAAGACCAATCCTTCACTCCTGCTGTTTCAAAACAAAACGTGTCTGGTGTGGACATCATCAGTGGTAGGAGTGACGTCAGGATGACACACCTCAGCTCCCAAACCAACTTAGTGAGCATGTTCGAATCCGATTCCACTCAGAAACCAGGAGTCCGTGAGTTCCTACAACTCCCTCCTGGTCGCCTAAGGCTGATGATGATGCCTTTACATTCCATTTTACCATCAAGAAGCCAAAGCGAAGGAGAGTAGGAGGAAGACAGAAAAGGAGCAAAAGGAAGATTAGAAAGGAGAAAAGAGAAAGAAAGGGGGTTGGGTGTGAATTAGCTCTTAAAGGCATGCAAACCACCTTAAAATCTGCATAGGTGGACGTTGTGGGAAAAACAGTAGTCAACTTTAAAGCCAATGAAAGGTTTTTAATGCCTAAGGGGAAAATAAACATTTGCTTCCAATCATTTTCTCATTAGCATTCCCTGCTAGATGGCGAGCGCTCCCTGACGCTCACACACTTTGGCTTGGCACCACAGTTGCCTGCTTAACTCGCTGTGTGCACCCTGGCCAGGCAGCGCCTGACACATTGGCTGTCCCACCTGGGCAGTACTCGGGCGCCCCAGCCCCCCTGGGTGCCGTCTGGAAGGAGCACGGCCTGCCCTGCCCCGCTTGACTCAGGCAGCCCTTGGCCACTTTCTATGCAGTGTGTCAGGAAAGGTTACAGGCGCTGACAGATTTTCCGTTGGTGGCGGCTGGGTTGGTGACGGGGCGTGTTTCCGGGCACACTTAAGATCTAGTAAGTAGCTCCCTCCAACAAGTAACAGCTCCGCGAGCTGCACCCCTGGCTCTGAGGACTCCCTCTCTACTTCTCTTTGGTCCCCCTCGCCCGACCCCATCACCTCCCGTGTGCACCCGGACCCTCTCACTGGCCCCAGATGGGCGCTCAGCATCCCTCTGCATTCCCCAGCTCCGGGCTGCCACCCGGCTCTGAGCAAGTTTTCGCATCTTGGGAGCTGCTCGCTCCCTATTATCCGCGCTGCCTGGCGTCCGCGGGACTCCGGCCAGGGGTGCCGGAGCTACCGGAGCCAAGGTTCAAGCCGTAGCGATCAGAGACGTGGAGCTTGGGGTGTGGGGATGTGGGGTGCGGGGAGGCTCCAGGAGGAAGACCATCAACACGTGCGAAGAAATAAAAGCCAGCCCTTGCGCGCGCGCGGGTGTGTGTGTCCGCGCGCTGGGTCGCAGCGGCTGCCCGCGGGGCCAGGTGCCCGAGTCCCCCCCACCCCGGCGCGGGCGTGGCTGGGGGCGCGGGGCGCGGGTACTCACACGAACGCGTGGTAGATGAACGCCCAGCCTCGGGGTCTCTCCAGCACGTTGTACAGATAATTCTGCACCCTCCGGTACTTGACGTTGCGCCGGCAGCTCTGGCTACTGGTGTACGAGAGCGGTTTCCCCAGCAGGCTCATCCGGGCCCCCTGCTTGCCCCGGCGGC